AAAAAAAAAAAAAAAAAAAAAAAAAAAACCTTTTTTTTTTGAAAGCGTTGTTTTTTACTTTTTTAATTGTTGACACGTAATGATATAAGATGAAGTTTTTCCTTTAATTGGTTTCTGTTTTTTTTTTTGCTTTGCTTTGCTTTGCTTTGCTTCGTTTTGAACGACAGTGTACTCTTTGCGGGGGAAGAAGATAACGGAACTGAAAAAGTTGCTCAGTAGCAGTCAAGGTATACTCGATGTTTCCTTTTCTTCACTTGCTCGTACTGGTTTAACCGTCATTGTTCACCGAGTTTTTTCTTTACTTTTTTTGGCCAGTTGTTTGTTGAAATTGCGTCAAGTTTTATTATGTCAAAAAGAAAAAACTAGGGGGGACAAAAAAAAAGAAGTTGCGAAATAACATTTTACGTTATTCTATTATACGATGATCGTCATAGGGGACTGATAATGCGTTCATGCAATATATTCTGAAGTATTGGGTGTATTTTTAATGTTTAATTGTTGAGTCATCGTTTTTCTTTGGATTTGATCTGGTTCAATGGTAATATTTAGACGATGGAACTGGCTTCTTGTTTTGGTTCTTTATTATTATTATTATTATTATTTTTTTTTTGCCGAATTTTTTACAGTTATTGCTGAGCAGTTAAACGATAACAGTAGCATTGTCGTTGCTGATTAATTAATGAACTTACTGCTGTGAAGTCTTTTGTTGTGTTTTGTAAACTCAGTTGTGTAAAACAACTATTGGTTTTTTTTTTTATCCTTTACGCCTCATTCTCTGCAGGTATTCAGATTTGCTTTTTTTTAGCTGTAATGAGTTCTGCGTGGATGAGTTGTTCAGCGATTATAGAAGTTTTTCGTTTCATTAAGGTTTTTGTTAATAAGCTGCGTCTGCCCTTTTTTGTGCATTTTTTTCTTTTTTTTTGTTTTTGTTTTTTGCTCATTTTGTTTATTGACTGTGCCAAAAATACAGGGCGCAGAAGAGAAATTAAATTTAAGGAAGGAATTTTGTTTTCTAGATTTTATCTTCAAATCACTGTAATCATATTCGTTTTTTAGCCATCTATTGAAAAATTTATACATGTCACTTGATTTTTTAGATTGAAAAAATTGCCTATAGATGATTTTTGCCCCTATCGTTTTGTTGCAAATTCAGTTGTCGTTCTTGTTGTTGCACTTTTTGCCTCTTTTTTTTTTCATTTTTTGATATTTTATAGCTTGGTTTTTTAGTTGGATTATTGTCAACCATCTCCACTAGCAAGGAACATATTTGCAAGTAGGTCGAGCAACGAAAAAATTTGTGCAAGATGGGTTCAAGAACTGCTTACGAAAGTGCAACTAGCGGTGATGGATCGACGGGACGGGCTTCAGGCTCAGCGCGGAACAATTCTAAAATTGATTCAGGTTCAAATTCGGATTTTTTGAACGTATTGTTCACGAGTTTATGAAGTAATCGTATTTTTTATTGTTTCGTTTTTTTCTTAGGATCTGATGATGATGAATCTGATGCTCTTTTGGCTGAAAAAAGAAGGAATAAAGGTTCTGGGAAAGCGGTTTCGAAGAGGGTTTGTTTGCACGCTAGTTGTTTGAGTTCTCAAGAAGATATTTCCATGTTATCGCTTTTTATCTTCAGCTAGGGAAGCGTATTTAGGGTCGCAATCCTGAAAGGACTCCGCTGTTATCTGGGAGGAGTCAAAGATCTCTGCATGGAGGGTCTGCTGATAACACGAGCGATAATTTTAGATGTTCTACAAGTTCAGAAGACGAAGAGAACGCTATATTTTGTAAGGATAGCCAGCTGTTTCTAAAAAATTGTGCTGCTGCAGTAACTAAATTTCTCTTACTGTCGTGCTACAGCTGTGTATTTTCATTTTTCTCTGCTAGAGAGGATTATTTTTTTTATCATTAGAACTGTATTGTATCTTTTTTTCAGTTAATGCAGGGTAAATTTTCCCACTGAGAATTCCTAAAATCTTTTTTTGCAAGTCATTTGCCGAAAAGAGAAGTCTAAACCTATTAGATTTTGTTACATGTGACTTTTGAAATGTCATCTTTTTTTGCTATTGATTAACGGCCATCTTTAGCTTATGAAAAATACGGTTCGTTCGGCGGTGAAGAATTTAAGACTGCTGTAACTGAAGCAGCACGAGCGATTCATAAAGGGATTTTTCCAGAGCGAATTCGTCAGGGCTCCTCTGGATCGTATTTTGTTCTCAACTGCAAAAAGGTTCAATTTTGAGCAGTTTTTACTTTGCGTTTGTCAGGTTTTACTCACCTCTACATTCTATTAGATTTGGAAAGCCTGTTTTTTAGGAAAAGGTGGGCGTATTTAAACCAAAAAACGAAGAACCATATGGCCATTTGAATCCTAAGTGGGTTAAGTGGATACATCGTATATTTTTTCCTTGCTGCTTTGGACGCTCATGTTTATTACCGAATCAGGTAAGCCCTTGCTTATTGCATGTGCGGGCGATCCCATTTTCAAAACCTTCCAGTTTTTCTTCAAAAGCCCGCTGCATTACACATTGTGTTACAGTTGACATTAGATGTATGAAATTTATTAGAGTATTCCAGAGTGGTCTTGGTCATCCTTAATGTTTTATCAGATCCCTTAAGAGATTGTTTTGTAAAGTGTGAAAATATCTGAGAAATTTTATTAATTATTATACTTGCTTTATTTTACACATAACATTCATTCATCATAACAATACTGGATAATTTTGACATTTTCACTTGTATTCAAGATTAGTTCATGCAGCATGGAACAGACACTTTTGAAAATTTTGGATCAATTTATTGGTATAATAGACGACTTTAATATCATTCATATGAGTGTTAAGTTTAAAAAATTATTATGAAAACATGGCCCATATCCGCTTTCAAGATTTTTAAGTAGATGTTTGAGTACTCTTGTCCTGAAGGCTATGAAGAACTGCAATTACTGGAATTTTTCGAGTTATCGTGAACTCTTAGTGTTCCTTCTGCACTTGATGGTATCTAGCTGGAGATAAACAGCAAATATTTGCCTTCCGAACTTTAGTATTTTACAGTAGAAGTTCTGTTTTGGCAAAAGCAATGAAGTTAGTGCGTTAGGAATAAGATAACTTTAGCGTTTATTTTACAGCAAGAGTTACTGAATAAAATAAATGTTAGCAGTACGATTGGCAGCTAATGTGAGTTATGGGTCATTTTCCAAACAATGTTATTTCGTGGGTTAGGGTTCAAGATCTGAAACAGTGTAATTAATTGTACAGATATCACTATAATATATTATATTTTATAATTTCCTTAATGTGTTTCACTGGACTGTGCGTCTCCTTCAAAAGTTTTGCTGGACTTCATAACAATCACAGTTTTTGTCCTTTGCTCTAGAAGTATTTTCACCAGTAGTAATCTTTTTCTTTATAAACTTTAATTGTAAGAAAAGTGTCATTACTTACCTTCAACCTCTTTCGATGGTTCTAAAGTTTCGTATCTTTCCTGTTCAATTGTTGTTCTTGGCACGGTGGGATGCTCTTGGAAAGAATATGCGGGTGTGACAAATGGCTCCCGTAACGGTTCTAAAAATAATACATTACGCATTTTCCTAAAATTGATTTTGAATGGTATCTTTACTACCGTCAAAAATTTGGAAATTTAATGAAACTTTTTTTCTTCGTGACCAGTAGTCTTACCTGTGTCTCTAAGGCTGTAAGAGGTTTCTAGCCGGTTGATGTAACTAGTGTGGGTTGGTGTTGAACTTCCTACTGGAGGCGTTAGTGGATTGGAAGCAAATGTTGTTCTAACGTACCGGCTAAAATTTAAAAACTTAACAATAGCCTATTCCTTTTTTTTTCTTTGTAGTACAAGGGGTTTATAAGTTATGCTTTTTTTAATACGTAAAGATTGATTGTTTGCTGACCTTCCGCTAAACAGATCAGAGGTGTCAACTGGTGGGAGTCCAGCGCTGTGAATATTAACACTACGAAGGCCTGAGAAGTTACCAAGTCTGCCAAGCTCACATGCTAAGGTTCGGTCGGCGTAATCGCGTCGACGTCGCCTTTCATTGTCGAGCTGCTCACGCATGATTGCTATCTGTTTTTCTAATTGTTTGATTCTATTCTGTTGATTTCTTTCACGAGCCTCAATCATTCTTTCAATCTAAAATATTGTTCCCAGACATAAAGTTCTTTAGTGCCACTGTTCAAGTATTTTTTGAATAGAACTGTTCCATTTAAAAAGTTATTTTACGTTTTTAAACTACCTGGATCTTCTCTGCCTGCATTCTCTGAATCTGCTTTTCTTGTTCCTCGCGTTGTCTGCTGGTCAGGTCCATTATCCTGCTTCCATTCTCCATTTCTAATTGCGCAATTTGTTGCTGTAGTTTGGCGCAGTTTCGGTACAATTCCTAAATTATGTTGTAAGAGGGAAATACCGACATTATATTTGCATGAAGTGTTTTTATGCTCTTTTACCTTATTTTCACGCTCCATTGCGTTGAGTGATTTTTCAATTGCTTCTCGCTGTAATGCAGTTTCGCGAATTGCTTCATCAGTTCGTCGCTTTTCGCTTTCAAGCTGTAAGTATCATAGTCATCAATTTTTTCCAGCATTGTGGGGCCTGTTTGTCAGTAGACTTTTCTCACTTACCATTTCCACTTTCTTGATAAACGTTGTTCTTTCTCGTTTGGTCACCTCAAATAACTGTGAAACCCTTCGTTTGTCTTCATCTAGTTTGGCAATTCTTGCACGCAGTTCTTCAAGTTCCTTCTGGAGCATTTTCCTTTCATTGTTGGCGACGTCAAGTTGTTGTCGGAGATCTCTTTCGTTGCTCTTGTGTTTTGAAAGATTCTAAAATATCAGAACAAGGGCTTTGTATAGAGTTGAACTTAGTCGGTCATTTGGTTTAAGAAGTTATTCTTAAGGTTTAGTACATCTTCTAAGTTACGAATGCGGTCTTCTAAACGATTCTTTTCATTATGTGCGTCTTGAAGCTGTCGTTGCAGTTCAGTGACTCTCAAGTTCAGGTCTTGTATACGCTGTTTATATTCTCTGACTTCACTGCGCATGCTAATAAGTTCATTTTCAAGTTGCTGCTTCCTCATGTTAGCGTTTTGCAATTCGTTCTGGGTGGCCGCCATCTATAATACCATTGAAGGCATAATTTTTTCTGGTATACTGAATTTGAAAAAAATTTTTCAATTTGGTACCTGATCACGAAGTATGTTGTATTCAACAGCAATTTTAGCATTCTGTTCGACTGTTCGCCGAAGTTCGTTTTCAACACTTTCTGCGCGAGCAAGTTCTTTACGAAGTCTTTCAATGTCTTCTTTAGCATCACTATACTTAATTTCATTCAAACGTAGTTGGCTAGCTAGTTCTTTGATACGTTCATTTAGATGCTGTAATATTTTTTCAACTGCAAGACTTATACCCGTCAAAAATTATTTGGTTTAAAATTTGTATTTTTCCATTTGAATATTCTGTTACCTCCTTTTCACTTTCGAAGTTGCCTACAAGCAGGTTCAGTCGTTGAATCTCATTTTCTTGGTTTCTTGCTTGAGTTTCTAGTTTGAATTTGGTAGCTTCCCAAGTTTCTTGTTGTTCACGTAATTTACGAGCATCACCATATACGCTGTCCAATTCTGCGCGTAGGTTTTTGACTTGTTCCTACAGCAGAATCATTTTTTATGAAAAGTTTGTGTTAAGGAAGAAACAGTTGATTTGATCGTTTACTTACATTCAAATGTCTGAGCTGAGCTTCTTTGCTGCGTGCTTCTAGCTCAGCAGCCACAATTTTGGACTTCATTTGTTGCCTTTCTTCATCTCGCTGCTTCAACACCTCTTCTTGTGATCGGAGCAGTTGTTTTGTAGATTCAAGACGAGCCTCCAAAGCTCTCCTTTCTACAAAAAATTCGGATTAATATTTGTAATTTTTCTTTTGCTTAAAGATTTGGTCGCGATTAAGTGTACCTTCAGTTTCACCGATACTGTCTTCAAGTGACTTGAAACGATTGTCTTGTTTAGTAATGATTGTTGTGCTGGTCGACTTTCTCTTGAGACGGTTGAAAGCTTGTTGGTAGTCGTTCTGTAAAGCAAGTTTCTTTGAGGACTAAATTGTTTCTGCCGAAATTATTTGTTCTAATTTTTTTGTTTTGTTATCAGGAGGTTTTAGAGGCGTAACTTACACGTTCTTTTTCAAGCCTTTCAATTCTGTTAATAAGTGTCTGTAATGTTGTCTCAAGTTGTTTGATGTCGAGTGTTTCTCCAATGTTAATAACAGTACCTGAAACGATGATTTTTTTTGTTCTTTTTTAATCTTCTTATTTTGTATTTTGGTCTATTTAGTATTTAACCTACTTGATGGCCTGATAACAGTTTCCGGAAATTCTGCTGATGGTGGGAATGGTACAGATTCTGGAATTCCTTCTTCTGTGACGCGAATATCCTCCTGAAGTTTGTTTCGTTTTTCACCGTCTTGTGACTAACTTTTGAAGTTGATCATCCCAGTCGTTAAAATAGCGTTTTTAATTTGAGTTTCTATAATGTTTACCTGGAAGGTGTTAAAGGTGATCGCTCTGTTAGCTGCAATTTGGAATCTGCGAACTGTGTCGAGCAGTAACGTCCTGTCTTCCTCAACTTTCATATAGTCTTGTTGTAACGTTTGTAATCGCTGTTCAGTGCTGTCTAGTCGGGACTGAAAATTTATGAGATCGCTTTGGATTATAACGATGTATTTTATTTTTTTTTT